CTATTTTTTCCAACCGCCAAGACTATAATGTCAACCCTAGATAGAAACATCTGAGTCAACGAATGTGGTTACCGTCTCAGTTTCTATAGTCGATAAAACTGTAGCTTTTGGCTTTTCGGGAACCAATGGCCACCAACGGTCTTAGCAAACGAGATTTATTTCGAAATGAAGCTAGAAGAAGTTTTTTTAAAAGTTGGATTAACCTGAGAGTTGCTAAGTACTGGCAGCCATTTTATGTTTTTATTACAGGGAGGTAGCCATGGCAACAGAATTGCCAGATGCGTTTTAAACCCGATTCAGTGAAAATGAAATTACATCAGTTCCTTGCTATTATTTTCTTTTTGCGTGATAAAACGTTGAAGTTTCACTGTTCCTCACACACCCCTTCTTCTTCTTCTTCTCTCTCTCTCTCTCTCCCCCCCCCCCCTCTCTCTCTCTCTCTCTCTCTCTCTGTTTTCCTCATCAGTATAAGTAATCAACATTATCATGACTGTCAGCAATGTACCGATCCAATATCACATGAAGTAAGTAAGTAGTAATATTTATATTCCAGAATACATAGATCATCAGCTGAATACGGACTTTTCTATTAATGAAACTGGAAGGGGAATCCCATGACGTTGATATATTATTATTATAATTATTATTATTACTCACTAAATACGCGTCCTAAATACTCCCTTCTGTCATTTTCTCTGTAAATAATCTTCATTGTGTTTTATGATTTATGTATTGCATTTTTGTTTGATTATTTCCTTTTCTTTCCACTCTCCTTTATTTCTCTTTCCTCCCCCTTCGCTGTAACTATAAAATCGCATGAATATCCATCTTCTCTCTTTTCACTCCTTCACTTTTCTCTCGTACACACTTGCCATCCCCTCCACTCCACTGTCTCCCTCTCTCTCTCTCTCCCTCCACCTCTCTCTCTCTCTCTCTCTCTCTCCCTCCACCTCTCTCTCTCTCTCTCTCTCTCCCTATCTTCTTCCCCCTCTCTCTTTCTTCTCTCTCTAAGCTTCCTCCCTTACTATCCCTTCTCTCTTCATTATCTTTGATTATTTTCCTCAATCACTGTATATCCAGCCTTCAGTTACCATGGTAATGTGCCCCCACATGGAAAGTTCGGAGTACAACATTAGTTGAGTTTAGCCTAATTCATGTTTCCTAAGAATTGACGTAATGATACCAACCACGAATTTCCGATTTAGGGTTGCAATGATTGAAGGCGATATTTGTTTCACTAGCCAAGATATACTAATTATGTTATATCTAACGCCACTGGCGTAGCATGGGTTCGGTCATGGGGGGGGGGGGGTTGCAAGTCACGACACCATTTTACCAGTTCAAAAGTGATCGCGGCACCCCAATTAGATATTAAACAAAGAGGATTTTTTTTCCATCCCTCGTATACATACTTTGTAGCAAAAATCTTCTTTAGTCATCAGTATTAATAACATGTATGATTATATATTCGGTCATCTCGTTGCAAGGAATCATGAATCACATGAACTATAAGGACAGTACATGTATGTCAATTTGACAAGGAACACAGGACTGGAAAATCAGTTTGGGGAGCAAACAGTCTCGTCACCTTTAAGCACATGTTTTAGAAGGCCTGCGAGACTGATAATACCTCGGTGCGATTTGAACGTTATATTTATCATAACTAATTATATCTAAGACATTTTTCCGATACTGTATAGGTCATTGAAGAATAATGGAAATTCACGGTAATTAATCTCTTTTAATACATGTAAATGCGACTGAATAACCTCCTCTGCCTTTCCAATCAATTCTCATCATGTCAAGAAACTGACACACAAATAACCGTCAATAATATGTCGCTCATGTTTGTTTTTAACTGCTCTTTACCTAAGCTACAAAACTTTTGACCAATCACAGGACACACTGTGACGTCACCGCTACTGGATAGTGCGAACTTTTCGACTGAAAATAGTTTTGATTCTCCGTGACTATCTTGACTTAAAATAAGTTCTTGTGCGCTCCAATGTAAGCGATGAGGAGGGCGGACTATGTAGGCTATGATCGTATCACTTTGGCAATGATCATACGCCCCCACACGGTAACCATGTTTTTCCTTACTACATGTATTAGATCACTCCGCACTAATACATGTCCACCACAATTTAATAACTTTTGCTCTTTGCCAGGTCGTAACCACAAAATTAAATTAGTCAACTGTATGTGGTTTCTAAGGCGGTTTCTATTGACAGGTTTCGTTAAGATATTGCATTAAGAAATACCTTTTATTATTTCTCATGTATCATACGTAATGCAATGTGTTTTTGAAGAGGAAAAAAAGTGATATTCTGATAAGTTTTTATTTAAAATGAATAGCGATGAATACATAAACTCATCAAAAAATATTCCTCTACGTTATGAAAGAAACATCCTTTTTTTAAATACATATTTGTCCTCACTTTAACTTGTACAAAGGCACAAAGAAAACAAATTGGTGGGGAAAATGAGAAATTTATGTCTCAAAAATCATACACTGCAATAATAGGGGGCTTTATGACTTAACAGTTTCAGGACAGAGGTGTCAATATATCTGTCTATTAGACCTTCATTTCAATAAAACTTTGTAACTTACTGGCTAATCTTTGTCAAACCCTCTGTTTCTCTGATTTTTGTTGTTGATTTTTTAAAGCAACATATTTATTGATGACTGTTCCCGTGACTGTTTTCCTTTAAATCCCCACTGCACTACTAATGGCTACTTGCACCGTCTGTACAGCAAACAATACCTAAACGGTACACGTTGATCCCCGATGATGCCCTTTTTATTATGTTAATTGAGAGCTGATTTGATGAAATAACCACATGTCAGTGACCTTGCAGGGAGGTCTAATGCCCCCCTGGCCAAACTAGTACAGAGGGGCTTTAAGAGTTTCCTAGTGCCTTCAATAGTACTGAACCACCTTTGGTTTGACTTCAAAATATCACATATGATATTGTGGCTATTGATCAATAGTCACAGACGACCGATGCTGTATTAATTCTATAATATCTAGGCCCGTTGTAATAGTTCAAACACAGTCTCCGTGCATCCATTAATTATTGCCCATATGTTCGTCCAGTTTTGAAGAGTTCAAGAGCCTTCCATATCGATACTTTAATTAAGTACCCTCATTCACTCTAGTTTCAATTACAAATCTGAAGCTTTACTTATGATTGATACTATTTTGATAATGTTTACGTTCTGAAACAAGCGTCAAAGTTTCGACAAAATTATAAACTGATGATTAAAACCGCTGCTTTATTTTCTTAGACATGATTCTACGTCAAGGTCTTTTTAATGTATATACTAATAACTTGTTATTGCTATCATAGTTATGGTAGCATATCATAATTGCTATTCAAGTGATTTTTTTTTTAAATGTCAACCAAGTTTCTAATCCGACAATGGTGTTTTATGTGTATGATAAATTGTGCACCCTTTCCTTAATGATTTCTCCCGACCCCTCTTTTACTTCATTCTCCTCCTCTCCTCTCTCATCTCTCTCTCTCTCTCTCTCTCTCTCTCTTCTCTCTCTCTCTCTCTCTCTCTCTATCTATCTTTCTCTCTCAATTGCTACTCCTCTCTTTCTGCTTTTTACATTTCTTGTACAAATGTATTTTTTGTCCTGCATGTATAATACAGTATGTATAATCTTCTATCTTTAAGACATGTTAAACGTCATTTTCAAGTGAATGAAGAACAAATGAAATGGTATATTGTTTTCCATTGTTTATTTACAGATCCTTGTTACAGTAACTTTGTTCTATTTGAAATTGGCGAACACATGTTTCAAGGTGATATAACAGGTAGGTCTTTTGAGCCATCTTTATTGACTTCGAGAAACATGCACCATCTATACATTTTGATCCTTCGAATGTGTATTTACAACGGATATCCAACAACTAACAACAATAATGATACGATTCGTCATACAGGTGAAGATTTGTCACAGTGGCACTACAACTCGTCATGGGATTACAATAATGTCTCTTCATCGACCGAGCAAGTTAAAACTGACTTCTTCTCTTTTAGCAATACGATTCTTTGTTTGTTTGTTTTAATTTCCGACATCCATATCTATATATATATATACATACAAGTTTTAAAAACATACATATGAAACACATTGCAAATGATAAGAAAGAAAGTGAATGCGTAAGATATAGACAAACGGTTGGAAAAACCATTATAGGACCATTTTTTAAATAGTCCTGTTCTTCCATGGGGTCCAAAAGCAAAAAAGAACTCATATTAATTTACATACAACATCAATTTGCAAATGATAAGAAAGAAAGTAAATGCGTAAGATATAGACAAACGGTTGGAAAAACCATTATAGGACCATTTTTAATGGTCCTGTTCTTCCATGGGGTCCAAAAGCAACATTTTTTTTACATACAACATCAATTTTCAATCATAGTAATTTACCAATGCACTATCCCCCTTATCGACCCCCTCACCTGAACACTCCCCCCCCCCCCCCTCCCGCCACCTTCTCGATCCTGCCAACCCCTCCTGTCACCCCTCCCACGTCCTCCAGGGTATTTTACAAAGAGCAATAAACAACTATTTTACAACCATTATAAGGACAAATCTAGCACAGTATACGAATTGACCTGTGCACACTGTTATCTATTTTACACAAAATGAATGTTTTGAGACATGAAAAATTAAATGACAAATTTAGGCGGACGTTAAAACAATGTAATCGGTATAGGTGCGTACATCTTTGCCAAAAGCAAGTTTATCACAACGCCATTAAAAATACCCAAAAAACTTATTTATGTAAAGGCCCGTTTACACTTGCACATTTGTGTGATATTAAACATTCTAAAAGTACAACTATGGCCCTTTATGTCAAAAGGTCATTTTCAATCAAAAGACTAATGAAAAAAAAAAGGAAAAAGAAATCACATCTTTATGCTTAAAGACTTTATGAAATATCCTTCTTTTTCATATTTTCTATGTTTGCACTCCCAAGGAAGTGAACGATTTCAATCTTGGATGAGTCTTTGTTTATTTATTTTGTCTTCAAAAAATTGTTTTGCCTTGACGAATCCCGTGATATCATTACCTTGGTATCAAAGACACTCCTCTCTCAATTCCATTCGATAGTAATATGTACTATTTACATGTTTATTCCTTGCATAATATTTTTTTCAAAAAGAAAAAAAGACAACAAGTGTGGAATATCTTCTTTTAGTTCTGCTACACCCACAACAAAAAGTGAGTCACCCTTACTCAAATTGATGAGTCACTGGTTTGTCCGTACAGCGAAACACTTGAAGGATCATGTGAGTCACTATGACTCGATACAAATGAGTCTTATTTATCTAAGAGACTCATTTGTATCGAGTCATAGTGACTCACATGATCCTTCAAGTGTTTCGCTGTACGGACAAACCAGTGACTCATCAATTTGAGTAAGGGTGACTCACTTTTTGTTGTGGGTGCATCATGACATAACCCCCCTACTCCCTAGGCCTATCACACACATACCATACCATGCCAGAGTCACTGTCCACATTTGCAATGGAAAATATATCCTAAAATATCACATTTTAGCGATGTAATCGGTGGTCCCGCTACCCGAATCTGAAAAATCTACTTTGTACGCACTAAATTAAGCCTTAACTTGAGATTTATTTGTCACCCATACTGTCACGAAACAATCTTGAATTAATTCGTTTTACATCAAATAACAAGGATCTAGGAGTTTCGTTGTATAAAACAATGATGCAAGATCATGCATGTTTTCATTCGACACGGCTTCGTGCGATACAGTAGAATCTATAGTTAAGTTACACACAGCCTCATCAACTCGAGTGCGGATATCGTAAAATGAACGCATGCATCATTTGTATAATAATCAGAAGATTCAGCCCACGAATCCAGTCATAAAAATCATCGTTTAAAACCATATGAATAATTATGCGTACCAATTTTTCACTAGCTGCAGTCAAAACTCTTCTGAATCCAAGATATAAGATGGCGACGTCGCGTCGTCGATCGGGAATTCAAATATGGCTCGAGAATGCGCATTTTGGATGACGTCACGAAAGCATGCGCGCGCATGCATACAGCCTCACTTTCAAGTTGACTCACTTTTTTATTCTAAAATGCTCTTATGTCGATCTTGACTCATTTTTACGACCATGTGAGTCAGTCGAAGCATTTTGCAAATGCGTCAGCTCATGATTGACACACTGGTGAAATATAAATGAGTCAATAGAGACTCATTGGTTGTTACTAATGAGTCAATTTACACCTGACTCACGAAAATTATGCTTAAATGTGTCAAATGACTCACTTTTTGTTGTGGGTGTAAGGCACTGAATTTCGTGCGAATGAGGAACAAATTGTAGTTTCTCAAGCAATACATATGTAGTTTGTCCCTGCAAACGTATAAAGCCTCATAGCACGGTGCAGTGTCAGTTACTGCATTTTATGACGCTTTCTTTGTCGGCAATAATCTTTCCTGGCATGAATATAAAGCTATGTGCATTCACTATGAACTTCGCTCACCCAATAGTCTTCTGCAGTGTTGAATACTCAGAATTTTGGTCCATGAGAATGTTATTGTCCATAGTTCATATCAGGGTTATGCTGTAGCCCATATATGATGCTGTAGACACGGTACACATAATCGTGATTATATACGGCGGTTGTTCAAGGTTTTCAAGAAGAGAGAAACTCTCTTTCGTTTGCGTATTTAGGAATCTTCGAATCATACACGGGTTCCTTGATACCAAAGATGCAATAGTCGGACTCGCGTTCAGTTGCTGTTTTCTCGTGGTCGTCAATGGATTCGTAGTCTCTGTCAGGCAAACGGGGAGGGTCGTAGAGAACATATGTATCATTGAAGACCTCGAGGTAGGAAGGTGCTCTGTTGAGCATCTCAAAATCAGCACCATCGTGACCGTCTTTGTTGTGGATTTTCTGTTCATAATAGAATCATGAATTGCAATGATTAAAGAGGAGCATGAGGTATGCGTTAAGGACAGTACATGTATGACAATTTGACAAGGAACTCAGGACATGAAAATCAGTATGGGGAGCATTCGGTCTCGTCAACTTTCAATATAGTTTGTATAAGGCCTGAGAGAATGAAAATAACTCAGTGCGATGCGAACGTTATATTTATCATATATTTAAGACATTTTTCCGATTCTGTGTAGGCCATTGAAGAAGTATGGATATTCATGATAATTTATCTCTTTTAATTTATTCTTTTAATAGTCATGTAATGCGACAGACTAGGATAAACACACTACCATTTTTTTTTAATTGTGACCATGACTAACGTCTTCAAAGATAGTCATAATATATAGATCTGAACCTACAGAAACCATTTTGTACTTGATACTTTTGCTAAATTCATCATACTTACCGTTGGGAGGCGAGGGTAGTTAATCTTAGATTCGATCTCTGGAAACTCCTCGTAAAGTCCATCATCGTCTCCAATGCTGCCCATCTCATCACCTGCTACAACTGCGTTCAATCCATTAAACTGCGCTAAACTCGTTGATGGGCGCGCACCGATGAGCCCTAAATTAGGATTCTCTCCAGGTGACAAGGTGATACTGTTCTTTGACTTTCCTTTGGCTGTTGTCAGAATCTTGTGGCAACGGTACACGATGCCGACCAATATGACGATAAAAATAAGAGGGAGAACGATTGTGATCGCTACGACGATAGTGTTAGTCACGTTGGACATATTCAGTTTGTCTGTATTGGTGTTGTCTTGGCTGTGAGATGTCGGTACCAATGCTATGGCAGGAATGTCGGCCGTTGCGTCAGGTAGGCTAAGTGCTCGAATTTCGGTGAGACGAGAGTCATCAATAGAAGAACTTCTGGTTGACGTCGAATGAATACGGGCATGTCCCTCGCATAGATTTTGAAGGGAATTGTCTCCAGAATCGTTATATTCACTAAGGGTTGGAAAGACACACTCTGTCGCATATTCCACATTTCGGTCAAACCAATCTTCAAAGTCCAATATGGCACACTCACAGCGTAGTGGATTATTCTCGAGATTGACTAAATCTAGCCACGGTATCTCTTGGATCAAGTACGAAATTTTTGTTATACGATTTGAAGACAGTTTGATAGACTGAAGATTATGGAAGCCTGTGAAGACACCAGAATCTATTTGTGTGATTCTATTAGCCGACAAATCGATGATCTCCAAACACAGATTGCTTCGGAACAATTTGTCAGACACACGACCCAGAGCATTGTTGGACAGATTAAGATATGTGAGATTGAAGAGATTTTCGAAGGCATCATTTGGGAGATCAGCAAGTCCATTCCTTGCCAAAGAAAGATGTCGAAGTTGTGTGGTATTTCTAAATGAATTCCCTGAAAGCCGAATAAGATGCGTTTTCTCAAGGGATAACGTTTGCAAGTTGTCTAGTCCACTGAGACCTCGACCATTTCTGATTTCTGTTAGATTATTACCGTCTAGACTTAGTATCCTTAGAAGATGGAGCTCTGCGAAACAATAATCAGGCAACGAGCCGATCAGATTGTTTGCAAGTGTCAAGGACTGAAGAACATTCCCCGTACCAAATGCATCGCAAAGTGGTTCCCGAAGACGGTTTCCTCCCAATTCCAGTGTGCCAAGATTCGGCAAACTCTTGAAGGTCTCCGCGGCAACGTTTTCCAGACAGCCTTCCACAACCAACAAGAAAACGAGGTTGTCGAGACCGCGCAACATCTCATCATTCAAGTTGGTGAAACAGTTTCCTCCAAGTCTAAGGTACTCAAGTTCCTCAAGGCCCACAAATGCATTCAATGAGATATCACTCAATGTGTTGCTTCTTAGGTAAAGGTATCGGAGACTAGTAAAGTCCTGCAGGGCGTCGGGGTTTAAACGAGCAATATTGTTGTTGTTCAACTGCAATGTTTTCGCCGAGCTGCAAACATCTGGTATTGACGATAATTTCCGATTCGAGCAGTTGGCAAATTTCGTCCAGTCGTTGAAGTCACAGAGGTTCGAGCAGGAAGAGGGGTCAGGGTTCGAGTCTTGGGCGTGGGTTTCCATGGTTACGGAAGAAATAAGGATGATGATAAACAAGCTTGAGTAGATCATAACAAGCTTCTGTCGAAATTGACGACCGACTTGGAAAGATGCTGAAGCCATCTTTGTTGTGAACCTGAAAATGATTTTTAAAAACAAGAGGGCATTATAAATGTTATTTCAATAAGTTGGGGGTTCAGACAGAAGTGCTGAAAAACCATTATGCATAAAATGTCACTTTAAACGTTAGAAAGGAATAGGAAATTATGTTTCGACCTATTAAGCATGAAATCAGAAAATGTCCCAACTTGCCAATTACTTGGTAGTGCTTTATTCCTTGTTATTCCTTTAACAACCATTTTGAGTGTTGTGAGTAAAACTTGGTGTATGTCCCCCTTTCGATTTTGTGTGGGTCTGATCTCCTTTTTTTGGGGGGGGGCCTCTTTCCCTCTCTGACTCTTTATTTTTGGAAATTTTCAAATATTTATGCAAAATGAAAAGTGCAAATAATTATTCTAAAAAATGGCATATAATTAAAAACAAACATAAAAATCTGGGCGTTTCATGTTTATATAGCTACGATACGGAATAACATCTTATTATCACACTGGTCATCGGATTCATTCACGCACAAAATGTTCACCATTTCCACTCCCTGGGGAATATTCCTACCACCTAGGGTATAAGGAATCTTCTATCACATAGGATTTCATCATCATACCAGGTCCACATTTCTCTCCTGGGTATGGGTGTCAAATTTAGATTAATTTCTTGCCTAATGACATTAGTGCCCTCTCGGGGATCAAACCCACGAAATCTGCATTTTCATTCAAGTGGTTAAAGTACTCCAAAACGACACCTTTACAATCAGGCCTAATGTGCCACCAAACTACCGCTGTCTACTTACCCAGTCATCTCCTGCAAGTCCCGATGTGTCGGCATCAAATCTTTCAAATATGTCTAAGTACAAAGACATCTATTCGTTGAAGTGAGAACCAGTATGTTTGGTTGGTCGCATATCGAAGCATCTGCCAAAGGAGGAAGTTGTTGATAAAAAAGCATCATCTTACCGAATCCCCTTTGCTTCTAGTTTCGTATTTTAAATTAACGGGTCATGAAAAAAGGGTTATAGCAAATATAGGATCCCTTCGAAAGCGCCATGGACGGTGCTACTTCAAGTTGACATAAACGTTTTAATTAGGTTTCGATTAGTGTAGTCTATTCATGTTAGAAAAGCAACTTTTAACTGCTAGGCATTACCGTGCAGGACATTTAATTTGATCTACTTTTCTCTTGCCATTACGTTTACAATTTGTCAAGGAACAAAGGAAAATATACAAAACAGACGTACGAGGAGGATAAAGTAATTTTGAATGACGGATGGTATCAAACAAATATAACTATGATGTGAATACTTAATAATGATCACATAGCACCTCTAAAACTTGTTTGTCTAAATATGGCTGACAATAATGTATATTACTTCATTGGGTACACAAAATTGTTCTTTCTGCGATAGTTTTGAGCTAAAAACAATGCCCATCTCAATTTAAAAGTGGCTTCTTCCCATCCTTATTTTCTGACATATCACATCTTATAATTATCTTAAAGTCATATCTTTTGAGGACTGGTGATGAAACTACGCATTATTTACTCACTTTGGGCAGGTGCGATAAAAGGGAAAATCCCCTTGCAAATTAAAAATGAAAAGAAAAATTAAATGAATACGACAGTGGGGCCTTTTTCAAGCATGAGTGCCTTGTTAAAGTACTTTTGGATCCTAGTTCAACCTAGTCCAATATTGTTCTTCTACAGGGTCAACAATTTAGCTCTCTCTCTCTCTCTCTCTCTCTATTTCTCTTTCTCCCTCTCTCTCTCTCTTTCTATTTAACAATCATTTGTGGTGGTGGTTATTTTACCTGCCTGCTAAGGACGCATATCTGCTTGTAAATAAGCAACCAGACGGCCGACGGCTTTAGATCCTCTCCGAGGGACCTGGTAATGAGGATTAATGCCTTACCAAAGGGCGCTAGCGCATCGACTTGGTTTCAAACCCGGGTCATCGGATCACGAGACCACTGCTCTACCGACTGAGCTATCGCGCCTCCTCGTCTTTCTTTCTATCTCTCTCTCGCTCTCCCTCCCTCACGCCGATACTGCACTACACACTGATAAATATCAACCTGATTAATAGTCCGGTTCATTCTATTATCAAATAAATAAACAAATCCAAATTGTCATTGTCCCATTCCTTTTCATAATTTTAGCAGAAGAAAATATAGTGATATTCCCTCCTGTCTCGAAGTCGTCGTTTATTTCAACACTTCCGTCATGTGAATTGCTTTAATAACAAGTCACTGTAGTCTGTCGATTGATATATGCGTCACTGATTTCATTCTTTAAGATAATAACAGTTGAGATCTGGTCATGCGATCGTTTTGTGAAAGAAACGGTGTGGAATTGATCAGAAAAAAAATATCATGTAGCAAATAAGTATTGGTGGGTACTACAAGCTTCTGGAATCATCAAACTGATAAGAAATTTTGTCCAGGCTTGGTTAAAGTAACAAGCACTGTATATAGAAAGATGAATGTCAGACTACACAAACATGTGGCATCAAAATGAGGTCCTCATTCTTAAGCTGTTACATATTTAGAATATGAAGGCATTTAAAGAGCCTTGCTTTTCAGGGAACATTTTATTTTCTGATGTTCTTCCACATTTGAATTATAACAATGCAAACGTTCACACATCATTTGTAACCTCTCCCCAGAACTCAACCTTGGCTCTTAAAATTATTTCATAATACTTAGCGAGGCTAAAGGCTCTGATCTGGATTATCTTGTTTCACTTTGAAGTTACATATTATAATATTGATATTTCGAGCAGTTCGATGATGAAAGATAGCATTTTTGCTCGTCAGAATTATAAGCATTGATTTTCTTTACTGTTGAAATAATCGTCATGTTACAGTAGCTATTACTACACACTAAACGTATTTGTGCCCCTTTATTTGCAACAGTCTCCCGTCTGTCATTTTGTTCCATCCCTCTTTCTCTTTCTCTCTCTCTCTCTCTCTTTCTCTCTCTCTCTTCTTTCTTCTCCCCCCCCCTCATTTTTCGTCATCCTCTCCCTCTCCCTCAGTTCTTCCTCTGTATACATATTTCGACCCATCTGTCTGTCTATGCCTGCACATGTACAATATGTACATCTATCAATACCTTTCTCTTCTTTCATCCCCTCTTTTTTCCCGGCCTCTACTTCTCTCTACGAAAATGCATTTCAAAGTACTCAAGGTAGCATATCAATTATACGTAATATTGCACGTAAGATACCACATATTTAATGATAATAAGAGAACAGCATAATATGTAAATCAACCAATATTAAATACTGTCAATACAAACATTAATACGAACCACAACGAGGCGATTGGTTGTTTTGCAAACAACTAACTTCAATGTATAAATGTAGACACAGGCCTAATACTGAATTCTTTTGTCATAAAAAAAAATCACTCGATTTAGCAACTGTTCAAATACACATTTTCGTTATTTGTCATTTATATTATTATATCATAACTTAACCACAGATCGAACTACTACAGCACACTGCCCCCTCCACCCACTTTCAATACAAATTTAATCAATAAACTTCCATTAAATCGCACTGTGTATACAATTGTGCTGGTAACATTTAATGGTGACTTCATTCTTTTGTTAATACTTCATTTTATTGTCAAACTGCTGTCATAATTATATAAGTTTGCATATTTATGATTCTGGTAGACTTGTTGAAGTCATACTACTTTGATTGTTGTAAAGATGTTATTTTGAACGTGGAAAAATAACAGAATAAAACAACATGACAAGTGTTTAGAATGCTCACAATTGACGGAGCGTTTTATACTGCCAGCAGTGTTGAATAATCGAACGAATCACTTCCTAATACCATATGACAGCTGCTTGCAAAATTTAACATTTTCATAGGGGCGAGTCACACTCACCACAGCTACGATCCACTATATTTCATTGTAAACGACAATAACAAAAACAACGACAACACCATCAACAACACCCACAACGACAACATCATCAACAACACCCACAACGACAACATCATCAACAACAACAACGACGATGACAACTTTACACCTATGTCAACTATGTACTGATACAAGCGTAGGCCCTATACATAGTGACCTCAAATCTTGAAACTTAATACTTATTACATACCGAAACATTTTTTTTCTTTCTGAAACACGTAGCATAAAATTGTGATAAACTTCCGATGCGTTCGAGTTCCCAAACCACATTTCGTGAAACAGTAAGACAGAATTGAAACATAAACTATATATTTAAACAGAAATTTGGATCTCAAATAATGCAAATAGGAATTACACTGCAAGATATATACATGTAAAAGCATCAGGATATCCAGAAATGCCTACCGGATTATGGAATATGTAATATTAACAATGGGTGACGAAACACTGAAACAAATATATACATTAAATATTTATATTCTTCACATCCCTCATTTCAATAAAAAAGCAGCTTGAAATTCAATTTTGGACAAGTATCCAACTGCAGGGAAGGTTGTGATCAATTAAGATTCTAAAGAGTTAGCATATATCAAGGCCCATCAATAAAGGTTCGGAAGGGAAACTATCTATTACCGAAGGTCGAGGGTTCGAATCTCGACGCGGCACTAATATCCTCTGGCAAGAAATTAACCTATACTTGCTACTCTCCACCCAGGTGTTAAAATGGGTACCTGGTAGGATGCGACCGTCATTTTTGGTCGAACAGTTTTTGAGCGTCAAGTCACGCCTGGCTGGAAAGCTCACCAGGGAGTGAAGATTGTGCAAACGTTGTGTGCGGGAAAGCACTGAATCCAATGACCGGGGTGATAGTATCTCTGTATAGCGCTTAGAGACGTCCGGGATGTATTAAGCGCTATATAAAAGATGAATATTATTGTTATTATTATCTTAATCCTGAACACCAATCCTCGAGGTATGTAAGTGACCAGTTCAGGTCAGTTTAAAAATCTTACTGATTGTTGATCATCATCATACAACTGCGCCCCGCGTTATATACAACCAGACCCATTCCCGACAACCTCAAGTTTTCATTGATATTCGAAGAGATTTTCATAACTGGAATGGAGATAAGTAAACCTTTCAAAATAATCGTTAAAATAAGATGGAGTTTGCAATTACCTCAATGTTAATATAATGCTTACTCTTGGCTTAAACTTGACTACCGTTTGTATATAATAACTATGAATTTTGAATGGTCACATCCATTTAATCACAGATTCTACAACGTGTTCCATCTTCTAAAGCATAATTCAATTGGAAAGTTTTACAAACTCTTGATTTTCTTTCACACAATTATCGTAACCAATTAAAGTGATATTTCCCTTGTCGTGTTTATTTCTTTTCCTCCACCCTTTTCTCCACATGTTCTATATATTTAATAATGACTTTTAAGTTTGAATACAACCGACCAATGATGAAGCTTCATTTCAGTTTAATGATGATGTAATATTATAAAGTCATCATTGATTTGACATGTATTTGACTGTGGCTGATCTGCGGGTATGATGTCGCAAGAGATACATTAAAGCCCTACTGTACTACTTGTAGCTACTTGCTCCCTCGATATAGAAAAAATGCCTAAGTGGTGACCATTGGTCCCCCGTGATCCTCTTTTTCTTATGTTAATTGAGAGCTGAGTTGATTAGAAAGCTCCCTGTCAGTGACCACGCTGTGTGGTCTTATCCCTCCTGGCCGCACTAGTACACATGGCCTTTAAAAATACGACATCGTAATACGGGAGATGTGTTACATCTCCTTCTCATAACGTAAACGGAGTTCAGGTACATGTATGTTACTTCGCTTCCCGTTGTCAAAAAGTAAGATATGCGAGTTGTGAGTACTATACTAGCAACAACAGTACTGAATTAGAGACTTATACTCGCAACAAACACAACAACATCAACATCTGGTAAAATGTCTATTGTAACAGTTACTAAGACCATCAAAACGACAGCAACAGCACATATCATGAATTATAGCAAGGAACATAGCGAGAATGATTTCAGGATTTCTCTTACGGCTTTGCATACTTCTCAAGGAATGGCAAGAATTTCGGAAAGACATCATCAGAGGCATCCTTTCCGACGATACAGTCCAGGTGCCCATAGTCTGGGACCGTGAACCACTCATAGTCTTGCTCTGGATTTGCTTCCTTGCATCGCTCGTAGCTCTGCTTTGTGGTTTCTGGATCCCAGCAGTGATTGTCCTCTCCGCTGAAGTACATTATGGGAATGTCCAAGTGCTTCATCTGCTTCCGATATGCTTCCGAATTGAGTCTCTCTGGGGAGTGGAAATCGGGAAGGTACGGTTCCGCGTCGTCATCCAGTCTGTCAAGGAACCCCATGCGGGTGCAATGGGCGAAGTGCCTGAAGATATCGGAGTGAACATAGCCGTTCCATTCGTGAAGAGTATCATGCGTTGAGGGGTTCATATTGTGATGAAGCCAGAGGAGGCTGTAGATGAAAGTGATCCGATGGCACACGTCGCTGTCGCATTGCTCTCTACTCTCGGAAGTGATGTTTGAGATGCCATCGAAGACGCGGTTCATGAATTTCCGATGCCACGCGTCCTCGATGTCTGAGTACGCACTCATCCCATTCACTCCGATGCATTGGAGGAACTTTGGGAGGCGTGCATTCGCCTTGACCTTATTGAATCTGCTGACAATGAAGCGGAAACCTACCTGGGACACAACCATACTGCGGATTTTCCCGTCCAAGTGTCCGCCGAGGAGAGAGGCATGCATTGTGGCCGATCCAGCGCAATGGGCGATGACCTGAATGTTAGGTGCTCCTGTGACTTTCATCATGAAGTCTACGGCTGGAGGAATGTCCTTGTCTGCTGGATCGTTGATGAAGCTACCCTTCCTGTGAGCCGTAAGGGCTATTGAGAATCGCATATCCAGGCCCCAGACATCAAAGCCATGCTTCACAAGGAATTCGACGAGGCTGACCTCTACTGTGTCAAGAGCAAAGATACGGTGCGTGACGCCCAGTCCGTGTAATAACAGAATTGGTCCTTTATCACCGCCCTTGTATCTTGTTAATGCAAGAGGCGTGCCGTCAGTTGCAAGGAGGTGATGGACTTTGGGAGTCATCTCATTGAGATTCAACGGTCTGCGCTTTCTCGGCTCAGCATCGGGACGATACGGGGAGCTCAACCCATGCGGATTAAAGACACCATACGAATCTACTAGAATGCCCGTGAAGAAACTTCCAAACTTGGCTTTCCATTTCATCCTCTCCCTCTTCGAGCAACAACATGTCACCTGAACCGTCGACAACTGCTTGATGAAATCTGAGAACTTGATCTCGAGCTTACCCTTCCCGACCTCTTTCCCGCCTGGTTCAGTCCCTTCAGTGACCGTAATCGCCAGCGTCGTCGTATCGGTCATCCCTATTTCAACCGCCGTATCCTTGTGCACGGTCTTGACTCCCTTGAAGATATAGAACTTGTCTCCACCATGCAGAGTCATGTCATAGGTCATTTCTTTGGTCTCGACGTTGTCCTTGCTCTTCCGGAACAAGTGGAATACTCCGTTTGACGCTGTCAAGGGTTTGTCGTGCAATGCCGTGCACTTGACAGTGCCATGGATGGCTGCTTTGTGTTCAGGATCCACTTCAAGCATGTGTTGGATGTCCTGGCTCTCGATGGTCAGGATGAATTCGCAGGGGTATGGGAAACGGTCAGCGGTCAGGTGGCCGACCATGCGTTCCGTGAATTTGAAGCCAGGTTTGCAGTCGCTGCGGGACTTCTTTTCTGTTAATGAAAAGAAGCAAGAAAGGTGAAATCACTAGATTTTGGAACAAATAATGTTTACTTCGCTTTAAGGAATTTAAGGAGGACAAAGAAAAATTGTTCATAAAATGTCAGTCATCGAAAACAGCTGGATAACGAGTGTTAACATTGTGTTAGGCTTGGTATGTTCCAAACTATACATCAGGAGATAGCTAGCTATTTCGTACATTCAAATATTTTATCTATCAATCATTACATTATTCAATATATTATCAAGCAAAATAAATAGAAATTGAATTAATTATGTTTCGAAGACAGGTGACTGAAAGGTATTTTCAAATTATTCAACATAAGGTTGACAAACCTGTTAAAGATTGAAGAAAAGGGTAAACGATTTGAATCACAGATTGACGTATAAGAGTAAAAACATACCAATCGATTTGCCGAAACCGTAGTGTATTGTCCAACCTTTACACTCAGCCAGGAGACGCATGCATCGCTCCGCCACCAAACTGATTGTAAGTGTGGGATTAACACCAAGACTACGAGGCATGACAGCGCCATCTACGACAAGAAGACCAGGATACGTCTCGTTTGAGTCTCCTTTGAAAACGTGTCCAGAATGGTCAACCACACCTTTACAGAAATGAATATGATGAAATTACTTTAATATTGCAAGCAGTTAAGAAATTCCTTAACAGAGGTGGAAGGGAATATAAAAAGGTATAGAAGCATGACACATCTATTATAACTTCCAGCTAAAGTGAATACAAAAATGTCAGAAACCTATGTTATTCAAACTACTACCGCTAAACTATGCCTATAAAACTACATTTATATAGAGAAATATGCAATATGACCTTTCATCCAATATTATTAGAGATACCAACTTAACGTTCTATGAATAGCAATGGGAGGAAATACCATTGCATATTTACCGCTTTGTACTGATTTACTGACTTATAAATATGTTTTAAATTTCGACATTGTTGCTATTATTACCGGTTCTATATATTTTTGTTTATTAAGTAAATTGTGAAAATTCAAGGTACCTTCTTTTCCAGATTCTGCCATGCTGCATCCACCAAGAGGATGAACAGTCACTACACCCTTGGAGCCTTTGAGCTTCGGGATGACGCCACCCCAAACAGGATTCGGTATGACCTCTCCCTTAAGAACCTTTGTTGCAGATCGGGCAGCATCGTAGATCTTCTTGAAGTTCTGCTCCTCACCAACCTTTGGAAAGTCCACCCAGACGCGGCCGTTGGATGGGTCATGGTGCAACCGACCCCTGCTCGAGTCATGACTCATGGAGAGGAATGCCAGTGTGTTCTTGAAAGCAGTGCCGGTGAAGGAGTGAAGGAACTCCGTAAATTCGTTCTCATTGGGCGACATATCCTCCCCCTTCGATGTCTTCATGAGGATCTTGTAGGGCAGCTCCAGAATGGACGGAGGAGTGCCATCCTGCAGGACGAAGCCATCCTCCATAGGCATATCAACCACATGCCGACGCATGTCCAGGAATCCTGTGATGCAAGGTCCGGGTGCTTTCGTCGGCTTCCTCGCCAGGTCCTTTAAAGCTATTCCCACTGGACGGATCTTATCGGTGCCGTTGTAACTGAAGTTGAGGGCGTCCCCGTTTGTAGTGAATCCCTCGCCGAGCTTAGGTGAGAGCGATAACCCATAGAAGGCGGACTGAAGCAGAATATTGGTGGAACCGAGGGATCCTGCCCCTAGGATGACTGTCTCTGCGGACACGGTACGTTCCTCTTCGTTGAAGTCGTCCTGGCCGAGAGGCACATAGTAGACAAGCCATCTTCCTGAAGACTCATCCCTTCTGATCGACTTTACTCGAACCTGTAGGAGAAACAGAAATATGAATTTGAAGGAAAATCAAACTTCTGGCATGTCTGGGGATTAAATAGCACTTCACTTGAATAAAGTTTTTGAACACTGACAAAATCATCTGCCAACCACTTAACAAGTTGAGCAAAATATAATCAACCCAACGTAAATGAATGTTACAAAAGTAGAGTCATGACATTTTTTCTGAAAACGTTCAGTGCAGTTTCACTAGGGGTCGGTCGTTAAGCTTATGCTAGAATGTATTGCAATATAATCTGGGCTGTTTACAAAAGAAAGTTTATATTTTTCCATACCCGCTCCCCTCAAAATAAGCGAACAAACAAACCAAAACGTCGCAAAAATAGAAAATCTATGTAATCCTATAAGGCTGGATTTCGATGAAAATTTTTGTTGGCAAATAGTGAAATCTCTGTTGCTGGTTTATAACGCTTGTTTTTATCCTAAAGTTTAACTTTTTGGCACATGTGCTATTCCCATCCTCCATGTTCTAGCGACGTCCTTGTAATAAGGTTGGAAGTTCTCAGACACTGTCTTCACGGTCTTACCTCTGTAAAGATGTAAGCGCCATGTGCCTTGGCATCGGGAAGGTAGTTCATGTTGAGTGTGTTCTTGGCACCTGTGTTGCAGCCACTGCAGCAGTTGCCGCAGCCGACACAAGCAGGTTGCGGCAACCCGATGTGGTTCTTCTTGGTCTTCTTAAAGTTAACATAGAGCGGTACCCTGTAGATTGGGAAAAGAACGATTTTCATAATTTCATGGAAGGCCATGTTTAGTTAAAACATACATTTTCTGTATATTGATACTTTGGCAACGTTGAGGTCGTCACAATGTTTAGGAATGTTGGGGCCGGAATTCTTTGTTAGTTTTGTTTATGTTTGTGATACATTTCCTAGGCGTTGTCCGTCTGATATTATTGGCGTGATTAAAGGTAATATAAAGTTTTGTATTGGGTCATGAATTCGGTTAAAAAAATAGGAAGCATATGTGATCCTACAATATTCAATGATCGTTGTCGCGGATGAAATCGAGTCTAAAGTGACGAAATTTTGAATAATAAACTCTTTATGTTGTATAGCTCCCTCTCAAGATTGTCATTACTTTAGCTTCAAAACAATGTTTCTTGACTTAAATCGACCAATTGTCTATTCCCGTTTGGAAATTATATATCACAACTGCATATTCTGAGATTTTCATGGAGTTACGATTGATACTATTCCCAAAGTTGCGATTGATATCAATCGCAACTTTTCATAAGATGGAATCAATATCAATTTTAAAGTTGCGATTGATTAGGATCAATCGTAACTCTTAGGCCCAAAACTGCACATTCCGAAATTGTCATGGTCACAGCCACTATTTTATGGACGTAGGCGATATTCTGAAATTATCGGGATTACCGATAAATTTGATATTCTAATTTCTCGAAATCCTTAGCCGGTAAGAGCCCATTTCTTCAAAGTTGCTTATTCTAACACTATAGGGTTCACAATGGTAATCCGAATTTTAAATGTCATAATCTCATATTTCCATTCTGAATAAGTGATGAAGAGCAGGAAAGAACCAAATAATCTCGCAAAAGTCAGTTTAGCAAAAGGGTATTGTTTGTCGTTTCATAAAAGCCAACTTATAGCGATCCGAAAGTACAAGAAAATTTGATAATTGTCATACTTCTTGTATAGTTCCTTGGTGGCCAGGTCTTCGATATCGGTGACGATTCCTTTTGCGATCTTCTTCATAGCTGCTTGCTTTGGCAGTGATGGATGACTATCCGGGTACTCCATTGGTCGAAGCATCGATATCACGTGATCACGATCAGCGCCGTTCAGGTTGGTGACGTCATAGCGCAACGCTTGCGGCCAGGCCTGCAAAGATGGAACACAAATCAATGACAAAGGGTTTATATGTCGCAAACTATAATTAATTAATTAATTAATTCGTATCTGGATAAGCGTCTTTTTTCTGCGTCAGTTTAGGCCTTGACACGTATGTATGAAATCGGAATATAAGTGCAGGAAAAACATTTAAAAAAACAAAAAGCAAGTAATCAAGCAAACGAAACAAAAAAGGAGAAGGATCGCTTGAAAACAATAACTAATATATACGAAACAGATGTTATTTGTTAAAAGCTCAAGTCGCTTTACTCGAAACCTAAATATAGACCCTCCTCCTACTACTATACTGCTGCTGCTGCTATTACTACAGCTACTACTATTACTACTACTATTACTACTACTACTAATACTAATACTACTTCTACTACTACTTCTATTACTACTACTACTCATACTACTACTACTACTACTACTACTACTACTACTACTACTACTAATAATAATAATAATACTTATACTACTACTTCTATTACTACTACTACTACTCATACTACTACTACTACTACTACTACTACTACTACTACTACTTCTTCTACTACTTCTACTAGTTCTACTACTACTACTCCTACTCCTACTCCTACTCCTACTCCTACTACTACTCCTACTCCTACTCCTACTCCTACTCCTACTCCTACTCCTACTCCTACTCCTACTCCTACTCCTACTCCTACCACCACTACTTCTACTATTAGAATACTTTATTGTACTGCATACCTTGTCATCAAAGACTTCAGGGTCGGCATCCAAAGCGACGTTGGCGTTGATGAGTGACCCCCCACCCAGACCACATCCTTGAACGACTGTAACTTCGGGCCCGATGATGATGTCGTATAAATCAGTCGGTTTACCTGGGGAGAGAGAATAATAATAATAATAATAATAATAATAGCTCGTTCTTATACAGCGCTTTTCAGGACCGGAGGCCCTCTCAAAATAGAGAGAGAGAGAGAGAGAGATAGGGGATTTGTGGGTGTATCTAATGATATATTGTACTGTAAACAAAATGAGAAGTGGTTAATTTACAGCCACTCTAAAGTGTTGGAAGCCCCAAGTTCTCCAAAAATGTGATGGCAAAATTTCTCTTAAATATCATGATGTGAAAGATGATGTAATTTAAGACACATATCTGCGAAGACTCCCCCTTAAATGTGCTTGAAGACAAATGAAGAGCTCGGTTCAAAAAGGTATTGTAACATGCATTTTTTTCAATAAAAATTGATGTTTCTCTCTTTCTCTCTCTCTCTCTCTCTCTCTAATAATAATAATAATAATAAATTACATTTATAAAGCGCTTAATACAATGTTTCTAAGCGCTTAACATACAAGTAATTAGGTACAACGTAAAATAAACATACAGCAATAATAATACATAATTCTAATAATAACATTACAGATAATTAAACTGCCCTATAAATTACTATTACCGGTAAACAAAAAATACTTCAAACTTGCCTTAAAAGACTCTTTCTCTCTCTCTGTCTTTCTAGCCTTCCACAGATTTTTCAGACTTGTACCACCTCCCCTTTATATGATCCTGGATCCGCCTTTCGTTTATTTCTACCAAGATTGATAAGCTGACGGACAGAAATGTCCACCGAAATGGTTCGTATCTTGCCAATAAACGTAATAAACTTTACTTGTTTAGTTTGATCCAAAGTATGGGGATATTATAACAGATTACCAAAGACATTTGTTAACTTTGAAAGTGTCAATTTTTCTCTGAATGAGTTTAAACGTTTACGGTTTATATGTACATAGAGAGTGTGCTATTATACAGAACAGTTCACTACCGCTGGAGAACCCATTAAATGTGTATTGTTTCCTGAATGCGAAATTTGACATTGTGGTGAACCATGGACCTACTTCTAGGCAGGGGCGGATCCAGCCGGCGGCTAAGGGGGGGGGGTGAATTCATGAAAAAAATATTATTAGCGGACAGGGGGAGTCTGAGAGGATGTGCCCTCAATTCGTGCGATTTGGCGTATACTTTTTGCCAAGATGTCATTTAAAACCTGTGACCTTACCAGCATTAATTTATGATAAGCTTTGGATTTCCTTGGATTATCTCTGATTCATTCTAGTTCTAATGTTTTCTGACTGTTTTCAAGACAATATCATGTTTGTCGATCATATGTAGCTTAGTGTTTCATGGTAGTTTTTTAGGAAATGCTAACTAAGCAACGATTGTTGAATTTTAGCAACAATCGTTCACCATTGCTGCTCTTTAATACTTCAATTACATGCAGTAACAAATTGAAATTACAGGACTCATAACAAAATCGTTTAACAGTTGATTGCGCTTGATTGAGTCCACTGTTCGCAGGGACGAGCTGGAAGCCATTGAAGTGGACATTCTCACCATTAACGACAAAGTATTATTATTATTCTTATTTGTTCACCTCCTTTACAATACTATTTGAATGGGGAAAATCAAATGTTAGAATCCCTGGGAGAAATTTCAATTGTTGTTAAGAAATTGCAGTTAATTCCGCTTCTTTGATTCTATTGTTCGGATTGTTAAGGTGAGAAACATAAGTCTTGTTCAGACGATGGCAACTAAAAATGCACACCGAATATGTTTAAGACTTTTAGAATCTGAACTGTAAAAGGTTTCACATATTTGCTCAAATGTATTATATCTATTAAAACTAACCTGTTTCTATTACCGAACCATCTTTCTGAGTAATCTGGGTGTTTTTCGCTGCTTCCATCAATGTTTCGGGAAAGTCCCCCGGCCACCACTCTTTGCCCTTCTCCAAGACACACACTGTTTTCCCCGCCCGGGCGCAGCGACTTGCTGCGATTGACCCACCATATCCGGATCCGATGACAATGACGTCATAATGAGGCTTCAGATCACTGAGGAAAGAGGACAGTTTGTATCCGGTGTAATCTGTGCCAAATTCCTGCAGAAAAAAATATTAGAAGGAAGTAAAAAAAAAAAAAAAAAAAAAAAAAAAAGTCTTAAAGGTAAAGACCAGTAATGGTCATGCGATTGCATTGTGATAGGAACGTTGTGGAATCGATCAGAAAAGGTTGATCATCTAGCATCTAGCATCTGCAAGGTTCTGGAATCATCAAAATGATAAGAAATTTGGCCCATTCTTCGTAAAGTTACAAGCACTATACACAGAAAGATGTACATGAGACTACCCTATATCTCTCACAAGACCATGAGAGAAACAAATTTACCAAATATATGAATTAGTAGGCGGTTTCCTGGCAAATTTTTTACCATCATGTCTTAGTCAAAACATATTCTTTCACATGATTGGTAATGAGAGCTTCCATTTCCTTTTTTGAAATTGGAACACTACAGTCCATTGGGGGAAACACGAGTATAGTAAAAAAAAAAAAAAAAAAACGTTCACTCAAAGATTTTTACTTTTTTGAGGCACTTCTTGATAATAATTGAAGCGCAATGTTTTTTTAGGGCTTCAATATTACACCATACCACAGACACTGGTAACGCGTAGGGCCGTGCATCTCAGATTTATCATTGTTAAGCGATGCCTTTAACGATAAGAATGGATAGTGAGGTGAACGACAACGGTAATACAGTTAATGAATCTAAGACGGATACAAATTGGGTAAAATAGAGTGTAAAATGGGAATAAAGAAAACCTCGCTACGTCCACAAATCACTTATAAAGACTCGATCTAGAGAGTTTGAATATACCGAGTTTAGTTGCAGATCCAGTAAGGGGGTGAACAATGTGACAAGTCCCACTGGATTTGCATGTTGATGTTGGTAATATAAAGCAAACTGCAAAACTGACTCAGAATTCAAAAGCCTTTGACAACTATTACTACAGTAGATATAGCAGCGAAATGTTTACACCCATCACATTATAGCCTATACTATGCCGCTTGAGAGAGTTATACTCGTTACTGAGATGCCAACCATGTATCCTGAAACAGATACAAACATTTAAATGAAAAGCTGAATAATACAAAATAATTACCGAATCTTTGTCAAAGTGGTATGTTCTCTCCAGCTCGCCCTCCATTATAAAGATAACTGTAAATCAAATTCCCTGGAAAACTTCAAAGCTCTCATCAATCACACTCAGGTTACAACAGCACTCAATACTAAAATACACATTCGTTCGATACGTATTTCCTCACCAGCACTGACAAAACACAATGAGATATTTATCAAAGGCAATTTCTGTATGAACATACATCCCACCAATCAAATGCCGATAAATCAAATCAAGTTACAAACTATGACTGTTTGCCAACAACGCGAGCGGAAACACTCGAACACAGTCGAGCAAGTTCCGTGATTTTCCTACATCCGGGTGCCGCGACCTATACCTTGGGTCTGTAACCTGTATTGATCAATGGCACTGTATGTGTTTTATTATAGGCCTAGGTATAGTATTAAAATAAAGAATTTATTTGGTATGTGTCTTTTATGATGTCACTGTATGTGTTTTATTATAGGCCTAGGAATAGTAATATAATAAGGAATTTATTGGGTCTGTGTCTCTTATATCTGTATGTGTTTTATTCTAGGCCTATAGGAATAATGATATAATAAAGAATTTATTGGGTTTGTGTCTTTTATGATGTCACTCTATGTGTTTTATTCTAGGCCTAGGAATAATGATATGATAAAGAATTTATTGGGTCTGTGTCTTTTATGATGTCACTGTATGTGTTTTATCATAGGCCTAGGAATAATGATATAATCAAGAATTTATTGGATATGTGTCCTTTATGATTTCACTGTACATGCGTTGTATTATAGACCTAGGTAATAACAACAGAAGAAAACAAACCATCGATATCAACCTTGCGATCTTGTGATTCATGACATTTTTCTTCTGGTGTGGGGAAAAGGTTTCGATTATTACGTCAGATTAATAGGTGAATGGTATTTACCGTAGAAAGAACACAATTAACACAATGCAAAAGGGGGTATTCCAAAATCGCCATGCACTCGGGAACTGCCACGGCTCTCAATGTACGGAGGCCTATTTACCGGCTATTTACATTTCATTGTTGTAATAATATTGGTTTTGCCACTTCTTTGACCTTGTTTACACAATTTCGTGACTCAACAATTCGTCAAAAGAACTATGTAAAAAGATTTGATTCGAAATATTGAATAGAAATGCTGATTTTTCTGTCTTTGTTTCCCTTCCATACATCTAAAACAATATTCATCTTGATGGGAATTTGGAGAAGAAAAAAAATCATACTAACTTTGTTTTATCGACATAAATTACTCTACGCTACGTTGTTCCATCACATTGTCTCTTACTTTTCAGTGTATCATCCCTCTTCCATTCTGTACCTGCATGGCTTGTGCTGTCAATCGTCTGGTAAAATTTACTGCAATAGCAAAGGGGTTTTCCCGACAAGAATATTTCGCAATGTCGATTTAAAGATGGAGTATTACATCGTACTGCTGCCTTCCTGGGTCATATATTGTGATAATGTATATAACGTTTCCCAGTTCCTTATGTGATGTAGAACCACCGGACGTTGAAATTCTGAGAATGCGTTATGGATATGTGGCCAATCAAGATTTTGAATTGAATGCAGAGGGGGTAGAATCCTCCCAGGGCCAATGGGGTGGGGTAGAAATACACCTAAGCAGTTATACGTGCTGTAGATCCAAACAGCTCGGGGAATAGGGGGCACCTACTCCATTGGACTTCATGTGTTTTTTTTTTAAATATTATATCGTATTCTTTTGATAACATGTCGCGTGTAAACAGTGTTTTAGTAAACACATCGTTCTGGCTTCTGTAGAAAAAAATACACCTCTCTCTCTCTCTCTCCCTCTCTATCTCTCTCTCTCTCTCTCTCTCTCTTCTCTCTCTCTCTCACTGTTTCTCCATCTCTGTGTTTATGTCTCTCTTTCTCTCTCATCTCTCTTTATTCCTCTCGTCTCTCTCTCTCTTTATTCCTCTCGCCTCTCTCTCTCTCTCTCTCTCTCTCTCTCCTCTCTCTCTCTCTCTGTCTGTCTCTCTGTTATACCATGAAAAGACTATGTGCACTTTTATCCTTCGTGACTCAAGGTTAGTTTGCAGACACAAACCCTTGCATGTCGCTGTGCATACATTGCTTGCATTATAAGAATACAATAGGCTATGATTGTACTTTAAAGGTGATACAAAGTTTTGGGAAATTTAGAAAATTGGGTGGATAGCGATTCTTTACAATATTGATATATTTGGATGCCCCTATGGATGTATTATAAGCACTCGAAAATGTAGCCCCTAAAATACTTCTACAACGATCACTGAATATTGTAGGATCGCATATGCTTCCAATATGTTCATTTAAACCAAATTCATGACCCCATACCAAAACTTTGTATTACCTCTAAGGCTTTAACCGTTATATGATACAGCCAGACTGACATATCTAGGTTCAGCTCAAGGCTCTAGGAATTGTGATACACTTTCAACTTAGGATCTGTGCTTGCAGACCAACTTGAAGTCGTCTATCCATGGACCTACACTGCATACGCCTAGCAATGACCAATCAGGATACTGAATAGACGGAATATTATCACTCACAGTGATAATATTCATGAAAGATGATTATCAATTGTTTAAAATTGTGCATGTCCCTGGCGGCATGAAAACAGGTGAACTAGATAATTATCATAATATTCATAATATTCATAACATGTTTTATAAAGAACTACATGGATAAGCCGCAGTGTTATGTTCTCTGTCTTAATGGGTGGCGATTTCTTGTCAACACTGGAGGACGAAAGGATGAAAATCGTAGCGAAGAAGCGTGCCAAAACGCCAGTAAGGGTCAACACCCCCTCCCCTACCTTCTTCTTCCCGTTTTCGTTTTTCATATCTTCGTTAGACTAAGTGCAAATTGATGAAGAAATAACATTTTCACCGCAATGAAAGTGTTTTTGAACTTACGCTTGCAATTTTAGAAAAAGGATACTCGGACAAGAAACAGCACCCCACGAAAATATACCCGCAAGCTTATCCCACTGCGTCGCCCCCCCCCCCCCCAGCACGAAAAGGTCCAGTAGTTGCGAAGTAGTAGCAGTAGAAGAAGGAGTAGTAGTAGTAGTAGTAGTAGTAGTAGTAGTAGTAGTAGTAGTAGTAGTAAGTAGTAGTTCTTGTATAGTAGTCAGGCGCGTACGCAGGATTTTTTCGAAGGTGGGGTTCTAAAATTTTTAAATCGCGCCGAAAATTTCGCAACGACTCAACCAGCCGCTGAATAAGCGGAGGGGGGGGGGGGTCACCTATTTTAGGTCACCTATTAGCATAATTTGTTTTTTAGTAGTAGTAGTCGGAGTAGTTTGATGCTTTATTGGATATCTTGTTTAGCACAAGGCTAATCTGCCACAAGGTTCACATTTTATGGAGTAACTTTATGTATACTGCATTTAATAGTGCGTTGAATGATCTTGAAGACTTTATTGATTGATTGATTGAGAAAGCATATAGCGATCATTTATTTCTTCCAATATGTTCAATTGAAACCAAACAAGTTAACAGTATGTCATGCATGATTTCATGTTTACATCAATATTTATGATAACAGAGTAATACAAACTATGAGCTAGTAATACAGATAAGTACAAAGAAATGAAAGACGATAGTGTTCCGAAAAAAGACTCAAGGACTTGCATGTTAGGACGTGTGCGTGATGGCATTGAAGACGTGTGCGTAATGATCTTGGACTTTGAAACGTGATTATTAAGAATTGGGTGTATTTGCATGCACCTAGACTCCATTATGATCTCTATACTAGGATCAACATAAAAAACTAAGCCTCACGTAGCTAATCTATGAATGTAACGAAGTTCATAGAGATAACATCTAAGCCAAATAATATTTCTACAGTGGCGTAGAGAAGGGGGGTGGGGGGGTAGGAGCACATTTTTTTTTTGTCCCGAAATTTGAAAATT